ATGCATTCTATTAGTAATTCCTAAAAATGACCCTGTAAAGAGAGGCCCATTTAATCTCTTCTTGCAAAGAATTGCATCTGAAAACAGCTTCCCTAAGGCAATGCAGGGAGTTCCTGAGAGTTATCAGATTTGAATCAGAGAATTTTACATTAACTCTTTAGAAACACCCCCCCCCCTTCTGCCTTCATTTCTTTCTCCCTCTGAGCAGCAACTGGGTTGTGATTTGTGGTGCTGGAAGCCCTAAGTTCAAGCTGATAAGAAAAAAAGCCCATGTTATTAATTTGCACTGGAGGCAGAACTAATGAATGTAATACAAGACCGCCCATTCAAAGACACCTTGGGAGAAGGAAAATTGGAGAGTTCCCACAGTATAGTCATGGCACTGAGTAAATTAACCACTCACCCGCCACCCCCCCACCCCTGCAGACATGCTTGGGGGCAAGGCAGCAGAGTGGGGAATCCATTTCAACTGAGCCCCACCTCCAGCTCCTTGTAGATGAGAAACCTGCCCTGTTCCTGAAATCTGTTTCTGTGCTTTCCCCTTGCAACTGGAAGCACCCTCCCTAGATATGGATTCCACAGAAATCTACAGGACCAAAAGATTTCCTTTAAAAAAGACTGTTCTGCAGCAGAGAGGAAATGTGAACGTTTAAAACAGTTTTGTTGGACTGGACAGCCAGATTCACATTGCAAGCAAACAGTTTACGTCGTCAGTAAAAGATAAAGGCTGCCTTGAGCTGACCTTGGTTCCTGGTGACTTCAGGGCCACGTCAAAGTAGATTTCTTGGCAACAGAGTGCAAGTGTTTGCCATTGCCTTTTTCCCAGATGTTTTTCCAACTTCTCATTCTAGCCTACAAGTCCTGGAATTCCCTGGTGGTCCAAGTACAGACCAGGTCTGACCCCGCTTAGTTTTTGAGCCTAGATGAGGTTGGCCAACCAGTGGTGATATCCCCCAGAATTCAATGGGACATCCTTCCGAAAGGACACACATAGAAATAATTTGTAAAGGGACTAATTGGGGGATCAATCCCTATCTTCAAAGAGTACTTTTTATCTAACTTCCTTATCCAGCAGGAATTGCTTCTTCTAAGAATCCTCCCCCACATTCTCAACGCCCACCTCTTCTGGTGCTTTGATGGACATCTCCATGTAGTTTTCCTGGCAGCAAGATTTATTTGTTTTTTATTTTATTTCTATTTCAAATTTGTCACTGCCCAGAGTCACTCTGCAGTGAGATGGGTGGTGACAAATTTGAGATATAAATAAAATAAAAAAATAAATCTGGAACTTTTTTCAACTTCACAGGGTAACCTAAAATCCTGGGATAATTTGCTTGCCTCTAGATATCTCATAGGCTAGAAAAGGTATGCCAAGATATATACAGATCTTCACCATCTTTCACATATGAGTATTCTTCAACAGCCCCTCTGTCTCTGGCCTACTCTTCCAAACATCTGGATGTAATGCTGAAATGGAAATCTTTAAAATACTTATCAGTTTGGAACAAATAATCTACTCTTCTTGTAGGACTAGCCAAACAAATCGGACACTTCCATCCCTGGACTGTACTGGTTTGAATTGAAACTTGGTTTATGATTCTAGATTCTTAAGAGATGACCAATTCCAGGATCCCTGATAGAACAAAACACTAAATAAAACCTAAGAGAGGCTTTCAGGTTTATTTAAGAAAGTAAGGACTTGATTTTTGGATAAACTGCATTTATTAACTGCGCTGCCTTGATAGCCATTGACTTCTTCCAGGGCGTGTTTCCAACCCCCCCCACACCCCAGTTCAATAGCCCTAGAATTCCACCCAGGGTTCCCACCATGACTGACTGACTGCCCTTGGCTTCTAGCCAAGACTAGCCAAGACCAGCTCTGTGCTGCCATCTGCTGGGTGCCCCTGAACTGCTTAGCTCCCTCAATGGTTGGAGGAGATAATTGAGAATCCCTGACCAGTATATGTTCATTCCTGATCATTCCTAATTCTAATTAAACACACCAGTGCATTAGTGCTACTTATGCAGGCAATTAAACACCCCTTTGTTGTAGGCGTAGGCATGCATATCAAAAATAGACTCCTTTGGGTAAATAATTGATAATGAAGTTCAAGCTCAGATACTCTGGTCACCTAATGCGAAGAGAGGACTCTTTGGAAAAGACCCTGAT